CACAGCGAGACACAGAGAGAAGAACATTGCTTTTGCTAATGCTAACACAGGAGAATCGGTCACGGATGCAAGTGTAAGAAGCCACAGACACAAACGCATGCTTTACAAGTTCTTATCGGATGCACTCACCAGATACCAAACGTAGTGAAAGCGACTGAAAATCCTCATTTTCCCCAGATTATCGCACACAAATCAGTTTGAATGTGCGTTTGCTTACGCGTGTCTCTGTGCAGCATCCCAACAACAGAAGCTACCTGAAGCAGTGTGGCCTGTCTCGTCAACAAACCCTCGCCACCTCCTCTCCTGTGGCTGTGCGTCTATCAAAACCTCCGTCACAGCCTCTGCTGCTCCTCCTCCGGCTTTAAGTGAAGGTCAGTGTGTCTGTGTGTGTCTGTGTGTGTGTGTGTCTGTGTGTGTGGCTCTTGTGACTGCTGGGTCAGAATAATCAAGTGGACCACGCAGAGGAGTTCGAGCATCAAACATTTATAGTGACTACAGTTTAACACTCAGCGCGCTCAGCTTTTCCCCTCGCTCTCTCGTCTCCCTTGGGTGTGTGTAAATAAAGTAGCCAGTCTTTCAGGCAAACTGAATATCTGTAGCATTTGACCCTTTAACATGAACTGCAACCAATAAATAAATAAACGTCTTCTGTAAATGCCGGCTGAGTGTAGGCGTTTCTTGCACAGCTGTTACAACTGCAGTCACTTCTTACTTGCTCACTATGAGATAAAACAGACATCTTCAGCCCATCTCAAGCTTTCATGTAGCTACTGAAACATGCACTGAGGTGTCAGTGCTTAGACTTATGCACACATTAGCAGAAAGGAAGTATCCTAAACACAACCTCAGGACCCCCCGGAGGACTGAAGCCTCCTTCCACACACATAATGATGAGATAAAAGGCAGTTACCAGTAGCAACGACTCATTTTCTTTGGCAGACATCAAACACATAATTCAATTCACCAAAAAAACTATTTTAACTCCTGAGTAAATGTCTGGTTTTAACAAAGTTGGGGAGCAAAAAGTGAAGCGCAGGTGTGAAAGTCAGAACTACTACTCAACTTCTTAATCCCATAGATCTGACTCCTGCAACAGCAGATCAACAAGCGTCAAGTCAGGCCTATATTTGATTGAATTACAGTGGCCTATCTTATCAGACTAATGTCATGTTAGGGATATTTAATAAAGTAATACCAGCTCTAGAGTTTCTCTAAAGATATAGTGGTTTTTATCAGTGCGCTTTACTTCATACAAGTGTACTACACTCTGCAAATAACAGAACCTTATTCAGGATGACAAAATCATGTGCATGTTGTCAAAAAAGCTATTTTCACTAAAAGGATGTGAGCTGAAGATTACAAAAACACACAGTGAAGAGAAACACCGCTCACCTGCAGTGCAGCCTGGAGGGAGTAGAAGAAGAAAAGGAGGAAAAAAGAGCAGAAACACAAGAAAAGAAGAGACAGTTGGTTAGGAGTGTCCATGTACAGCCAGACAAGAGAGCAGGGTGGGAGCCAGACTGCATAAAAATAGCATTAGATAAATTGAGGGAGGTAAAGTGGGGGATAGGTGCTCAAGGACAGGCGGGAGCTGGCACACGTACCATCAGTGACTGGGTAAAACAGGAAACAAGGATAAAAAATGAGACTGAGGGGACAAAAGAAAAGAAGAAGATGGATGTCAAATGAAAGACGGGGCAGAAGAAGCTTCGCACATACAGAGACTGAAACGAAGGTCACTGACAGGCAGACAAATGAACAGAAGCCCAGCAGACAACAGCAGGGTAAGGACACAGGCTGTCTGGAGTTAATGATGCTGTGGGATGTTCAATTAAAGTTAAGAGCAAATTTACTGCCACCACATAATGTAATATAACAACCCACATCCTGTCGAGGTTTTTGTCTGCTGTGGGTTTGTACTCTGCTATCGGAAATGCTTTCAAATAACAAGGAAAATACTAGGATTAAAAGCTAAAGAGTTTAAAAGAAAAAAAAAAGATCTAATTTGAGAAGCTTATCTTTACTTTTGCCAAATTTACTAATTATAGGAGAAATATGAAAAGCATGACTCTGGACAGAGACGCCGAAACCAAACCTTGTTTGTTTGGAAATGGGTTTCCGTAAGCTATCAATATTGCACGGGTGTGTGGCTTAGATGCTCCACAGGGATCACCTTACACCTGAGGGTGGAGTCCTACCTCCATTCATTCAAATGATAAACATGTTTCTATAAATAAACCAGCATATTAATGTTGTTTTGGGAAGAATTCACTTTTTTAAATTGACTCCAACTCCAATTGTAAAGCCAATCTAACCATTTTACTGACCAAGATTCGCAGCAGGCCTATTAGAGCTGCAAAGGGCAAGAGGTAAGTGTAACCACTCGATCACAGGGCTCTACCTCAAAGTGTTTTTATACATTTCCCCCAAATGTTCGTATTTGTACATAAGTTACCCTAACAATAAGCCTGGACGCCTTCACTTGTCATTCGTGCTTTTCATTCACATTAGTGCAGCTAATTCTGTGGATTGAAGGTTATTTTTGTGAGTAAGTGCTGCAAACATTTTTGCACAAAATTGAGGGAAACAAAATAAATAAATAAATAACACCAGATTTTGAGTGTGTTTGCACCTTTTGTTGGATGGTGGAGTGCTTCTGCTCCATGTCCCTCTTCTCTTTGGCAGCATCCACCACCAGCTGGTCCAACTGCAAGAGACAGAACCAGTAAGCCAAGCACACCGAGCCGACCGGTGACAAGCGTTTCATTCAAAATGACAAAACTAAACACTAATTAAGAAAAATATCTATGATCCAGTGCCACCACATCTTTAAACTGCACCTAAAAGGTCGCGTGAGCATGCGTGCGTTGATGATGCTAA